AGTAATCCTCTCGCAAAAATTAGCAGATCAGTCCATTTCACTTTTATTTCCCTTCAATTCAAAATGAAAGTGTAACTAAAGTCATCAGTACTTGCCTCTGCTGCAGCCATGTGACGCCTGCGTGCTCCCTTACCTGTGATGACATTGTCGCCTGGTCTTCCAGTTTCAGCATCTTCAGGCATCATGATTGGCCAGCCCGGGATGACCTAATGCTAGCACCAAGGCATGCTCACTTTTTACATTTAGTTGTACATGTGCATTTATTGCAGAGACATAGGGCAATTCAGTAAAAGCAACACTTTTCTGGCAGTATAGTCCCTTTAAAAATGCTTGTGCCCAAGTCCTGAAAGCCTTGCACAGTTTTTGTGACTCCCGAAACGTGCATTACATTCAGGTCATTCTTTTTTGCACAATGTTTTGCTATGACTGTGACATATTAATTACTACTACCTCATAGAAAAATAATCTTCAAATATATCAATTGGTGCGGACACTGTCCTTCCTTCTGGAGGGTTGCTACTTTTGTTCCTCATGGTCCCTATGTGTTTTTTAAAGTCCAGCTTCACGCTCGCTCCTGTGATGGACTACAATCTCACATTAAGTTTACTCATTTGTATTGAGATTGTAGTCCATCACAGGAGCGAGCTTGGAGCGGTGGCTAGTTTACAACACACACAGGGACCATGGGGAACAAAAGCAGTCACCCTCCAAAAGTAAGGACAGTGTCAGCACCAATTCAGAGATTATATAACTCCTGAGTTTAGTGTCACTTTAATATGCAAATGATTTAATTACATATAAAACAGAATGAGATCTGAAAGGAACTAGCAAGGGCCTTCTTTATAAATAAAGTAAAGGTGGGATGTGCCTATAGTATTCATACAAATGTTTGTTTTCATTTTCTAATATGCTTTACAAAATGACATCTGGGTTCTGGATGATTGCCATGGACAATCCGTATTCTTGTCATATTATATTTAAGTTTTTGGATTTAGTTAATGTTAGTTGAGCCATAAACAAGGTGTCTGTGATTTCCCTGGTCTTAATGCAAAGAATTAGTTGGATTTTTTTGGAATCAGGTTAACCATTGGGAGTTTGGCTGTAAACATTATAATTTTTTTTTAAATGAAGGCAGCTCTAAAATAATACTTTTCTTGGGGATATGGTATAGCAAATATAGATTAGGCTACGTGGCATCTGCTACTATGATTACGGGCCTCATGTAAAATATGTTACTACTAGGTTATATGGGAAGTACTCTAAAGAAATAAAAAAATGTATTTTGGTGCTTGTGATCTCTGCCTTCAGTTCACTAGATTTGACTCCACAATCAATTTTGCAGTTGGGAAACCTGCTGCAGAATACAAACATCTCTTCAAGCTTTTGTATTTAAATCTTTTTTTTTATTTTGAGCAGTTGTTAAAAGTAAGAACCATGCAGACCTTGGTAATGAAATGCCAGCATTTACAGTAATATATCAGTGGCAAATCAAGAATTGAAGTAAAGTCTCTAACTTCATTAGCCATCTTTAGAGTTGCATTTCATTTAACACTTTTTGGTCCACTTTATTTAACATTGTTCTAAACCCATTTGTTGCTATCTATACAAAGTTTTATCTCCTGCAGTATAGGTATGAAGATGGAAGTATAGTGGTGCACATCTTATACACTAATTACTTAAACTTACAAAGTATTTTTCTGCATTATGACAAGTAAGATATGGCGATTGCTGTTCTGTTGGAGTACAAGCGACGGGTCACATTTTCCATTATTACCTAGAGCTGTATTAACATTATGACTTTGCAGCAAGTAGGAAATGACAAAGGAAATGGAGACAGAGGGGTTGATTCATCAAGCTCCATATCATGGGAGTTACTACCGGAACAGTCACATTAACTGAACTTGATCAATTTTCCCCAGGAGAATAATAAAACCATGAGGACAGCATTTTTCTCCTATATTGAGCGAGCATCCAAGATCTAAATTTGTAAATGTGATAACTGCCAAACTGTTCCGTTGTACAAAACAGGAAATGTAAACCTTACACAAAATGTAAGAACACCTAATGTGAAAATACATAACCATAAATCACTTTGAAAATGATGCCTCTTCCTTAACAATTATTCATCCTAAATGGCAGATGAAAATGTTCAAGGTATAATACACTTGCTCAGACTTCATCAGACCCACATGGATGAACAGGCATGGTGTCTCATACTTAACAACATGCACCAACAAAGTTTTTCAGTTATAATATCTGAATCAAACATTTGTGTTCTAGATCCAAACTATACCGGGCCGCTGATGTTACAAACTTATTGTACAAGCTTCTTTAGAGTTACCAACAACTAACTAGTATGGGGCCTACTTAAAATGTACTTAAACACAAATAAGAAAGTTGTGTAAGTAGCTCCCTTTTTGCCTTATAAATGTACGTGCGCAAGGTTTTAAAAAAAAAATCTTGATGTGAATAAAGGTTTAATAAATACCTGTTGATTCTGCCAGTTTCTGCTGTTTCCGAAGACTTCTTTATTGGGGTGACCAGCAGCTCATAATAATGTATAAATGTGGTCACCCTTCTTTGTGAATTTTAAGCAGATGTGCTTTCACTCATTCTTCCTGCTGGTTGATTGACAGCTGCTGTGACCATTTAGCAGCTGGGATTGGGACTTCCTGTAACTGCAAGTTTTGCTGCACAGCTTGTGCCTGTTACAGGTAGGAGAAAAATGAATCTACTGATAGGATCAACAAGTAATAAAACTATGGAAAACAAAACCTGCTGTGTTACTTTTGGCAGACTGCACCATATATGTATTTTATTTTGCCCATGGTTCCACTTTAACTGGATATAAATATAGTAGATCTTTTAGGGCCAATTCACATCACAAACTCTGTGTTCCAGTGTGTTCGGCCTCCAGAACGCAAGCCGGCCAGCTCTCTGCGTTCAGGGGTGAGAGGGGGCGTGGCGGTGCATTGAAGTTAATGGCACCACAGCCACGCCCCTCCACCCCCAGTGCGATCGCCCGCACCAGGAAAGCAGTGCGTTCTGCAAAAATAGTGCTTGCAGTATTTTCGCAGAACGCACTGGACCAGAATGCAGGCACTAATGTGCCTGCGCTCCAGTGCCAGCAATTGCACTGCTGGCGGGGGGCATGGCTGCGGTGTCATTGACTTCAGTGCACCGCCATGCCCCCTCCTGCCCCTGAACGCAGAGAGCTGGCTGGCACTGGAACGCGGAATTTGTGGTGTGAACCGGCCCTAAATCTGATCACTTTTCAAAGTTAATTTGAAAAAGTCAATATTGATTACCATATCTGAACTCCAGTAAGGACCTTTTTCTCACCCCATCTTGGCTGTGACAAGCTGAGATCTGAGCTTTGCAGCAGAGGTAATTGCTGATAACATTGCTGATAGCAAAAATAGTGCTTGCAGTATTTTCGCAGAACGCACTGGACCAGAATGCAGGCACTAATGTGCCTGCGCTCCAGTGCCAGCAATTGCACTTCTGGCGGGGGGCATGGCTGCGGTGTCATTGACTTCAGTGCTGTGACAAGCTGAGATCTGGGCTTTGCAGCAGAGGTAATTGCTGATAACATCCATAAATTCCAAATTCAAATAAGAACTTACTGAATAGTCTCCTTTGGTCTTGTTGCTCTCATAAATTTTAATTGTTCAGAACTGTTGCAGAGTGAAATCTGATTTGTTACTTTGGGCGAATGAACACAATAGCTCTTTGCACTTCTTTCTGTAATAGGCCTGTATTAGAAGGTCTACACTATTTTGACATATAAAGAAAGAAAGAATCCTATGTTGTGGTCACAATGTGGTACTCATTTGGCAGTTATTGAAATAGCAGACCTAGCAGGTGGAGGCAATATGATTTGTATTACATATGTTCACACAGTAATAATGAAATCAATGTTTGTTGGGGGGTCAGGAAAAAGCTGTCAAATTTGAATCCTCTAGCACTGTAATAATTATGTTTAAACTGTTTTAAATGAGCTGATTAGTTGAAATTCTACCTTTATAAATAAATCTCCAAATCTCACCTCTGTTCTACCCTGCCCTTATTGTGTCTACAACAGCTCAACCTCCCTGGACCCACTTAGCCCCCTCACCACACACAGAATTATGCGCCAACCACTATAATTTTGGCAAACAAACAAAACCAGAAAGTTCAAAAGCCATAGTCGTTCTCTTCTTAAGTGACTGTGACATTAATCTAAATTACTGCAAGACTTCACCTTGTGTAAATCTGTCCTCCAAAAATACCTTTCCTGGCTCCGTGCTGCCAAACAGACCTATTTTATCACTTTCATTAGCATTACCTCATCCAGCCCACATCAACTCTTTTCTACCTTTAACTCTCTACTTCTTCCCTTACTGCCTCTACCCACCAGCTCATTCACTGCCCAAGAGATCGCCAGTCATTTCAAAAACAATATTTGTGCAATCCATGATGAGATCCCCACTATCCAGATATCTCCCCCACCTAACATGCCATGTCTAGCACCACATTCAGTACTTTACTCCTTTGACCCTGTTACTACAAAGGAAGAAAACCTGCCCCCCCTGGACCTCGTTCGCTCACAACTACAAACAATGCACCTTCAGCTGTCCTCCAGTTGATATGTTACACTTCCTTACATAATTTTGAAGCTAAATACTTCAGGAAATGCTTATGGCCCTCCTTAGACATGCTTCAGCCTACAGTAGACATAATGAAGTCCCCTTGAAGATTTAGTACCCTCAATTCGTCCCACTGTTTAATCTGAGTATGTCATGCCTACTTTAAATACCCTGTTCTGCTGTACAGAATTAGTACAATTCAGTTTGTTTGTAGTAGAATATGGTATGTTGCTATAGTAACCACTAGGGTTATGTACTTGAATGCTATCAATATGTAGACCTGTTTTGTTTCTTTTGTGAAGATGCAGAATGATTATATACATATGGGGAGTAAACTTTGGTTATAACACCTGCATTTTTTTTTACTTACAGGGTACTGGTGGTAGTTCTACAAGAAAAGATTGCTGCTTTTGACAGCTGCACATTCACAAAGAAGTTTTTTGTCACAAGTAAGCACGCTAAATTTGTAAAATGAACATTTATAAAGTTAACAATTTTGTATTTGAAACATTGATTTCAAAGTGATTGCATAGTGTTTTAGTATATATCTTTTCCATTAACTATGTTCATTAGTAAAAACTAACAATAAAATCATTGTTTTAGTCAGGTGGATGAGGCATTGCATGTGTATATTTTATGTTTACAATTTCCAGCCAGCAAATTAAGTTCTAAGCTGCATTTCAAATAATTTACCAGACCACTCTTGACTGCTTTGCTGAAAAAGCCAGTTTACAAAGCTTGGTAGCGTAAACTGAAATTACACACATGACTGAATAATCCAGGCAGTGACTAATCACCCCTCTTGCCCTCTCTCTGTACAGACGTTGAATTAGAGAGAAACAGTCTGAAATGAAACAGCTTATTCTATATTTTCCCCTTTCACTCATAATGGATTTCCTGGAAGTGTATCAACCTTTTGGGCTAAAAAACACACTAAAGCCTTGTAGATTTGAGCGCCAGTATGAAAAAGAGCAATATGTACAGCAAGCTTTAAATTATTTGTAAATCTTGTAGAAAGCTTCTAGCAGCTGTTGAAGCCTTTAAAGTAAACTTTAGTGCCATGATGGGGATATTAAACCTAGCTCCTAATAGGAGTGCTGACTCTCACATTAAAAAAGCTTCTAGCGGGCTTTCAACAAGTAGCGCTAAAGTCTTCTGAAGCCTGCTAGCAATTGTTTAACGTGACAGACAGCAATACCTTTTAGAATCTGTGTCTGCTATCCCAATACTGGAGCTTAAGGGGGCCATAAAAGGTTTCAAAAAATCTGATCATAGCTTGCTGAAAGCTTTGCAAATGCTTTGTAGAATCTTGCTGTGCACACTGCTCTTAGCTGAAGGCCATGTATACGTCCGGGCCTCGGTGGCCTTGTGGGAAATCCGGGCCTGCATGTATACATGGCCTAAAGGTGGCTATACACCTTACAACCATTGTACAACTTTTTTTTGTCCTGACATCACACCCTCGTTCAATTTTCGTTGTCCCTCCGCACCTGTGCTGGAGGGACAGCTGAAAAGGACCGTAAAGAAGAAGATGATCGAATCAAGAGGCAACATTTAAAGCAAGTTCCTACAGCAGGATTGGGAAGGGGCAAAAAAAGTTTGACTTTAATGTCACTTTAACTCCTGAGTTTAGTGTCCCTTTAAGCTTATGTTACATTGTAACATTTGAGTAGTCCTAGACATACTCGACAGAAGCACAACTTTTTATCCAGCTAGTAAACTGCTGTATATGAAGCCTTTTTACTCCAAAGGCCTGTGGGATGGACTTCCGGAAATATTGGGACTGATTTACTAAGGAGCGGGAACTTGGGGCTGTTTACTTAGCTGAGTAAGGGCTGAAGCACACCTTTGTGATTGAGTGCATTAACATATGTTGTATGCATTCACATTTTGCGGTGCTGTTCATTTTGAATTACATCCCAAAGCATTAAGGCAACACAGCTTTGACATACATGCACTGGAGTGCACTACAACACAAGACAATGCACTACTGTGACTTGCGATGCACTTTGTGATAAAACGTGCTGTATGTAATTGTTTTGGTCAGCACCTGTGTGTTGTCAACCCATTTGAATAGTCTGCCTTATCGCATCACATGTTAAAACATGGCACTTGGCATTGCAAGTTATAATAAATCACATTGAATACCCAGTTATGTGCAAAATCTGTAGCCAAATCAATATTCTTTTTCTGAAGATTAATCCTCTTTCCAGCAGCATGGCTTGACCATGAGTTTGCATCTTTGCTGTAAACAGTGTCTCCTAGCCATTGGTAGAAGGTGCTATTTAGAAATGGGAGATCTGCTCTGCTTTGACCTGAATGAACAATGCATCTCCCAAGAGCAGAGTCTTCAGAGTCCAGTAGGGTGCACCCAGAGCCAGGAAGCTGCAGGCAGGATAGCTGAAAAGAGGACTGCTTTTCAGTAACACTACATATTGGCTTTTTGGAGGCTGCTGGGACAAGTACCATTTATATCAAGTTATACTTTAAAAGTAATATTTGGTTGCAAACACATGTGCTGTAATAATGTCTACCAATAGATGTCAGCTTTTCTCTACTATGTGCTTCTTCATGAGTATACAAAGAATGTGAAGTTTTTATCTGAATTCAAGTAGTGTTACCACCACAAAACCTTTTAAGCTGTTTCTGTCATTTGTTTTTCATTGGGGAAAAAAAGCATTTTTGGTGCCATGGTTTTATTGAAAGCTGATAATGTGGTGTGATGGCAAAACATGTTCAATACTTGAACAGAATGATCAGGGATTTAATAACAATGCAAATTGTAGTGACAACAGTTACCAGATTTCAGGTCTAGTCTCATTGATATAATGTGTTTTCTGATTGCTTGATATTGGTTTATACAGGTATTTGCTGTAAAATGAATGAGCAAGTACATCAGTTATAAGTTAAATAATTTCAAATACCTGGATGTTAAAAAAAAAACATAAATGAAATAAAAATTTGCAAACAACAGTAGCCACAAATGACAAAAAGATGTACCATGCAAAAAGTTACATACTTTCACAAAGAGTTTGTGGTCACTTAAGAAAGCATGAAGGCTTTTCTACTTTTTTTAAGTAAAGCAGAACTCCAGGCAGTGGTGAAAAAAAAACCAAAAACTAATGTGTTCCCCACTAGACTATATTGCTCATTTAGGGGAAAAGATCAGACAGTTTTACTTACCTTAAACTGCAGTCCTGTGGCAGCGGGTGGTCTGGTCTTCCTCTCCAGCACTGAAGTGTTGGCTGGCACTTCTATGTCATAATGCAGGACCAGAGGAGGATGCTGGTTCGGCCATGTAAGTCATGATGTCAGTGAGGCGGACAGAGACAAGACCAATCAGAAACTGGCAAGAAACGTGGCTTTGGGAGAACAGGTACCACAAATGGAAATGGCAGGGAGCTAAGGGAATATGAATTAATGTATGAAATACTCTTTGTTATCTCATACCCTAGAAAAATGTGCACTTTATTCCTCATCTGCTGGAAAAGGGGGTTATTATTTTTTTAGCTCAGCCAGTGTAATGCTTTAAAGGTAAACCTTTTTGTTGTTGTTTAGATAGATTGGTGGGAATGTGTAAGTATCTCATATTTTCTTTTATTTCTGCGGCCCTTGGAATTTCAAGTCACTTCTTTTCACAGTGATGGAATTGGCAGGAAGTGAGGGGAAATATTTTAAGCAGGGGCATAGCAGCAGAAAAATCACTGCCATCTGGCATATGAAGTGGGGGGATAGTTTTTTTTTTTTTTTTCCCTTGAACATTTCTTCTCTCTTCATGTCCCAGTGACACCCTTTCTTCCCCAACAAGGCGCACAAACAATAAAAACATCACAGAGATTGTAACTCCCTGTGATAATTTAGACTCCAGTTAACAGAAGTGTTGTTTTTGCTATACATGATTGAATACTTTAACTTAGTGGTTCTCTGGCATTTTCAAGTTGTGTCGTACCACAATTAACTTTTAGAAGTTCTTGATGCTTAGCAAGAAAGCAGGCACACCTTTTGCAGCCTCTTCTATGCTGAAACAGAATTCACACCGTGCTTTATTTAAATGTATTAATTTTGTTTTACTTAACCCAACACAGTTATAACAGAGTGGTTATATTTACTCCAAGAAGAAATTGTTAGGCTGCCCATACCACTCTTCCTCATCAGTGGCAGCCAAATCTTTAGCTGATTTGGCCAACACAAACATAGGTGATACATGTGTTGTTTTGAATGTTTGTATGCACCATTGTAGCACTGGAGAGATTGATTTGCCTTGACGGCCGTTCTCTCTTAAATAAATAATCTCCTGGACATGAAAGTTAGCAAATGCCCATGTGAAATTGTTAAACCCTACCATGGGTGAACACACAACTCCTTGGAGGTAGGGCCCTATCCATGATGTGATATCTAGACATCTCCAATAAAGATGAACTTTTTTGATACTGAAAACCTGTACTGGTGAAATATGGAAGCTGCTTATACTAACTTCACCTTTTAAAAGAATGCTTGTTGCCAGGCTGTCATGCTGAACTACTTTCTAAAGTACTCTCTCAGTCAATGGCCTGCCACAAGTATATAGATCAGGAGTCCTGATGTAAAACTTTAGTTGCTGTGTGTTTATTCCAGGTTAGTGCCACAAAGTATGGAAGCCAGAGACAGATAGGCAGTTAGTTTTCAGAAGATGGTCAGCAATGGCAATTTCTATAACTCTCTCATTACAAGTTGCCTTTAAAGAGGAGAACTCCTTTAGATCTCAAATGCTTTGTAATTTACCATATAATGCTATTCATATTATTGAATAGTTACCAGCTTATAAATCAGCACTGGACCTTTAAGCGTTGACCATTTGTCTTGATTGTTTTAGTAAAATCAAAGCTAATGATGTTATTTGGAACACATAACCCAGAGCCTCTTTTAACTCTTAATCACGGTTTTAATTGAAGGCATCAGATAAACAATTGCACTTAACAGGAAAGAAGGGAAAAACAAGCTAACATCCCACGAGAATATTTACTAAACAAATGGAATCCTATGTCTTTGAGAATCAGCCGAGGAATCATGTTCTATTTATATGTGTGTGTGGCGTACAGCACGCTTTCTTCCTGCCTTCCAAAGACAGCTCTTAAACTGGCAACCAACCAGATGAACACATCCAGCATGTCATTCCATATTGTTTCATATAATTTACCAAGGAAAAGAGAAAATAGATAGTAAGAAAAAAATGATGGATGGTAGGAAATGTTTAACTTTTACGTGATTGCCCCTTGATAAGAATTCATGAATTTGTCACATTTAAATAGCACTGACCGACCATACAACATTATATTGATGCAATAGTTTTTAGCACTGGTAGCTCGCTACTGGTAGTTTTCATTGCAAAGCTGCTGGCGCATAGAACGATGTTCCACTCTAAGGCCCCTCTCACGGTTAAGCTGCATGCCAAATTAGCCACAATTTGATC